TCTATTTGCAGATGATATGATTCTATACATAGAAAAACCCAAAGACTCAGTAAAAAAGCTACTAGGCCTCATTGGAGAATTCAGCAAAGTGGCAGGATATAAGAACATACAAAAATCAGTTGGATTCCACTATACCAATAAGGACAGTGCCGAAAAGGACATTAGGAAAGCAATACCATTTACAATAGTTGCCCAAAGGATGAAATATCTAGGAATAAATGTAACCAGAGAAACAAAGGACCTATACTAAAAAAACTACAAAACACTATTACAAGAAACCAAAAGAGACCTACAAAGATGGAAGAATGCAACCATGCTCCTGGATAGGAAGACTTAACATTGTGAAAATGTCAATATGGCCCAAAGCAATTTACACATATAATACAATCCCAATGACATTCTTCAAAGAGATGGAAAAAATAATTACAAACTTAATATGGAAAGGAACGAGACACAAGATAAGCAAAGCACTGCTTAAGAAAAAGAATAAGGTTGGAAGGCTCTCACGCCCCAACTTCAAAATTTATCACACAGCTACAGTGGTCAAAACAGCCTGGTACTGGTATAATGAAAGATACATTGATCAATGGAACAGAATCCTGAAATTAATCCATCCACATACAACCAATTGATTTTCGACAAAGTGCCTAAATTTATCTCATGAGGAGGTGACAGTCTCTTCAACAGATGGTCCTGGCAGAACTGGAAAGCAATATGCAAAAGACTGAAACAAGACCTTTACCTCATACTTTATACAGAAACCAACTCAGCATGGATGAAAGACCTAAATGTGAATCTCAAAATTATGAAGGCCATCTTTGAAAAAATAGGACAAATGTGAGGGCTATAACAGGGAATACATACACTACCAAACACTGTGAAAACTACACAAACAGAAGTAGACAAAATAAATTATTGGGACATACTAAAAATTAAAAACTTGCATGCATCAAAAGAGTTCACCAAAAGAGTAAAAAGGAAACCCACAGAAGGGGAAAAAAATCTTTTGCAATGACACATCAGACAAGATACTCATTTCTAAAATATGTAAGAAACTACAACACCTCTACAAGAAAAAGACAAATAATCCAATTTAAAAATGGGCACAGGGCATGAACAGAC